CGTCCCTTCTATCTTGACCTGCCCATGTCCCCTGCCTCAAGTATACCACATTTCGAAAAGAAGTCAGCGCTCTGCAAACAGTAGGCAAAAAGGACACCATAGGTTGGCATAAAAGACGATGGCATTCTAGATTTGAATTTCCACTACCGTGTACCGAGGCTCCTTCCTTGGCTCCACCTACCGGCTAGAAACCCGTACCCTAATCGCCAGAGAAGAGGTCTAACGTGAGCCTTTGGCAACTGTTAATTAACTTCTATGTTATAATTTCCGAGAAACATTTTGAAATAATGACGTAGTGCTCCTAATACGTGGTTCAACCGATGCAAGACCCTGAGAAGGAGCTGTTGATATCTCACACTGGTCGAGCTAGCAAGGTAACTTAAAGTCGTTAAATGACGCGGTCTCACCGCTAGTGGCCTGGCTTCCACTACCAGAGAGAAATCCTGGGTATAAACTGGAGCACGCGCATCCTAAGAAGTTTAAGTTTGAAAAAGATGTTCTTTGGGATAAAAATAACTTTAATGAGTGAGTTTTCGAGTTTGGCACCCCAACCCGTCTTCGGACTAACAGGAAAAATGCAATCAACAACTTAAATTTCAAAACTGCCGAAAAAATAGATATTTGTTGAAATTGAGACGTGATTGGTAGGTTTGATCTCAGTTAGTCTCTGTCGTGTGGCCTCTGTCTTTTCCATTGTTCTTTGACGTACTTATACATACCATCCAACTCGACGTGCCGGTTGATGCATGAATCGTCGGAGTGCATGCCTTCGAAGAATCCTCGGCCATTTTGAAGGGGCAAACTTCGAAGATACGTGTTTTATCCCATGTAAAGGTGTGTCCTGTGTCGAGGCAATGCATGGCCGTGCTTAAACTTATCAAACCGACCAAACAGCCGCCGAAGAGCTTCCATCCGGGCCTGTTAACGTCCAGCGGAGTGCGTCTACACTTCACGAACCTCTACATGCACTCGAATGACAATTGGGCGCCTTCACTATAAGCAGGCGCCATGGTCGCCATGAGAAGCGTACCAACGCAAAAATGAACCCCTTATCCTATGACGGATAAACTTATTGCTTGTTCGTCCGGCTCGCCTCATCACTAAGCTGTAGATGAGATGCATGTCCTCATCAGAACTCCGCGGTTCTAAAAATGTTTTTGAACCACTGGGACTACTGCCTAGAATAGACAATCCCTGAAGATAAAACAACGATCGCTGCAGGGTGACGGGCCCTGTGCTAGACAGAATCAAACGGGTTGACCTACCAAGGGCTCCCGCAACTGCGATGATGTGTGTTTCATTCCAACGACTTCCGGTCCACGTGTTGGTATGATTCATCAGCCGCTACCGCGCTGGTCGGCAGCGGCCAATCTCCACACTATAATTAGGACCCTTAGCTGCACTGGAAAGCACTAAGCTGCTAAGTCTACGCTTTCTGCGGTCGTGTTATTTTGTCGATATGCGCTCTCGTTTCTCTTCATAATGAAGGTCTCCTGAAACTATCGTCTCCGGATACCATCGTAGCGTCACATAAAAATACTAAACTGCTATTTTCTCACCGAACTTTAGAGCCCTAGGCAGCGCTTTTCTAGCTTTATCTTCCCCTTTTCTGCAATTCGGCCGACCTGATATAGCATCGTAGTAAGTCCACGGTAGGTATGAAAAACGTAGACATTAAAGAACAATTTTTGACGTCATAGAGTCACCAGGTAAGACCGGTGTTTTTTTATTTAGTTAAATACTTTCAAGCAACAGCGCCGAACTTTGGTCTAAGTTTGACATGTAAAAATATCAGTCACAACTGTTCTGTAGGTTCAACGGTTCGTTTAACGAAAAGTAACCCGTCTCTTGGATGCAAGTCTTGTCGTGGAAAAAAGTGTTTTTGAAACCGAGGCCTCAAACCGGCTTTTTATTTAACTTGAGCGAGTTGTTGGAAGTATTAGTCTATAACCAGATCAACAGGACACGGAAATGAGCATGCGCACACCAGTCATAATTATCCGCAGGAGGGCAATTTAATTGATACGAATCGGACCTAACAGCTCATGTGGACATGACTCTCCGATTTTATTTCATCGAAAGAACCTGGCGAGTTAATTATGTTGCACTGTTGATAATGATCATCGTATTCCTACTTCGGTTTTAGTTCTTTTATCCATGTCCAGTTATGAATCGCTTTTCCCCTTGTCAGTTGATTTGTAAGACGTTTGATCCTACGGTAGTCGACCCACTTGGGATAGTTTGTGATATAAACTTCAGCCGTCCGATGCAAAATTTAACGCAGCAGCCGCTCTGTTTTCTACGATGCTCCAGACCTACTAACAGCAGATTGCAACGCTTAAGTTGTATCAATGTTTATTGCTTCTGCCATATGCCATAAGCAAGTGCTTGACAATTTGCTATATTTTCAGTCAACCAAGTAACTTGCATACATCCCCCCTTTGTTAAACAGGAAGCGCAGCGTTATCACGACCTCATTCTCAGGTATGCCTCGGAACTTGCGGGTCGCCGTCCACCGGTCGCAGCTATACCCTGTCTCTCCAGGGAGATTGTTCTGCCGTATGGTAAGTTGGCGGCTGTGTACTGCCTCAGACATCTTAACTCAATTAACCCGCCTTACTGGGTAGTCCCGGGAAAACTCGAATACACAGCAATTAGAATTCATAAGCAAACATTGGCACGTGTTTCTACTTAAAAAGCGTTATCAGCCTTGCCAGTGTCCAATTCATTTTCTAGTTAAATTTAGATTAAAAGTATATATTTTCCGGTCGAATTTAAGTTAAGGATAGATGTTTTTTAACAGCTATATTGGTTATTATCTCCGTGTGATCTTCCTTCCCTTTCTATGTGCCCTCATAACGCCCTCTCGCTGCTCAGTTTAGCGACGACTTTCTTTTCACAAAAATTTCCTATTGTGTTTTTTTTCCGGCGACCTCTTCATCTGTAGTCTCTGAGGGAAACTGACCAACTGAGTCCAGGCAGCTAGATGAGTCACCGCTTGCTAAGAAACCGCAAACAGGCCTTTTATTGTGTATAACAAAAGTAAAATATCCGCATAAAACGGTAGCAGAAACGGGTCTGCTACCATTTTATGCAAATGTCTCTGATGATGAATCCGCGACGGATGTCGAAACGTCAGGCCAATAAACGTATTGTCCCAGCGATCGAGTCGGCTACTTCTCAGCAAAACATCCATCTTGTTCTCACGTCTATTCACGAGCAAGTGCCATCACGAAGATTTCACTAAATACATTCTGATTGGCTAAATGTTAAGCTATGAAGTGGAGAAATTATCGACCCACTAAAGTGTTTGCATTGCTCCAGTAGACGGCTTTTTGTCTTATTTAGTGGCATACGCTATGGGGAAGGGCAGATACGATGGGATCTAAATCTTTTGTTTGCCTTACAATGAGTGAACTAAGTACAGTTCTCGCCGTTGATGGTGCAATAACGGCAAGTCTGCATGAAAAACGTTCTAGCTCGCAATGCATTCACATAACGGACCCGCAAGTAATACCGCGTGAAAGCTTCAATAAATCCTTAAAAGGAGGCATATTTCTATACATAAAGTACCATTTATTATCTAAGAACTAATATGTTTTACCAAAAACCGTCAAATCCAAAAAGGGTCTTAAGTCAGGTCGGGGATAAAAAGTCGTTATATAATTGACAAAAGCGTAAGAAAATAGAATGAAATGACAAAATGAGGAAAAGTAATCAATAGGTAAC